AGTTCAGACGTGTGCTCTTCCGATCTCTATCCAATTTTTTAGTACTCAATTTGTACTAATTTGTACCACCAATAAAAATTTTGTACCTCGTGCTGTTTTGAAGAAAAACGTGGCGCTGCTAGCTTTATATTAAGCTAGCAGGACCACAAAAAAAATTTAAAAAAAATAAATAAAAGCATGTATAATTAATACTAATTTTGTACTAATTTGTACCACATAAAATAAATTAATATTTCAAACTTAATTAATATAATTATTACCTTATAATATATCTTTTCTTTCCATTTCCTTTGAGAGTCAAAACTCTTTTCCTTCAGCAAAATTGAACGATACTGCTCTTGTTCAATGTGCAATAATTTGTATTACAATATGATATTCAGACTTTGTATCCCCCCCCACCCCTCAAACTATCGTTAACTCTTGATAATATCAAGAATAAAATATTCGTTTTTTCCTGCAGAATCGACACTATTGTTCGATGCGTGATAATTTGTACTACCAAAATGTAAAGTTTAAACATGTTTATAATATATTTCTTAATATAAATTGTTCATTTTTAATTAATTATTATTCTATAAAATTCGATCCAGTTTTATTGTAGAATTTAATAAAAATTACACACACGCACGCACGCACGCATATACATATATTTATATACGTTTAAAACATATATATAAACCATTCGCTGTCACTTTATTATCCAAATCTTGCGCTATAACCTTCCAAATATTGTGTGTTTTCGAAATTATTTTGTCTTTATTTTTTATAACATCTTTATACTTTAAAATTGCTATTTATATTTTCTTGGGATCAACTTTTCCTGGCCTACCGCGCACTGGATTCATAATGAAAACTAGAGGTGGCACAGTTCCCTCTGACGAATGTTAGAGACTAACTTGAAAAATCCAAGTATCGAAGTCTTATATACTTTTCGGCTTCCTTTATATCATACATGGCGGTTTACTTCAAAATCGCGGTATTGATAAAAAAATCGCGCATGTCGGTTAAAAACAATATTCGCGGTCTATTTGATCGCACTAGTGCGAGATTGTGCGGTTCTACCTTTGTTGTCAGATATAAGAACCGAAAATTTGTCGTCGGTAAGATTGTTTATATGAATGCGGCATATGTCAAAAGAATGCGGTATTGATCTGATGTGAGTATGATTAAAGCTCTCCGAAATGTCTCTCTCTCTCTCTCTCTTTCTCTCTCTCTCTCTCTACATATAATGCGGATGGATGGAAATGAATCTAAAGTAAAAGGCACAAGTATATTAGAAAAAAATATGTGTCTCACGGTAAACTATAGTATAAAAATTTGTATGTACGCTTCACTACTAACCTCACACAATACAGCCGATTTTATTGGCTTCCAATCGGGAACTCCACATGCATCAATCCATTTTTTTTCCAAGTTTGGATCTTGAGTAAACTTTGTCATGCAATAACCTTTGTTATTTGAGTTTGTGCATCTCGGAGCAACTGCTAGGCATTTGAAAAATGTTGAAAATACAGAAGTCTGAAATGTAAATTCTTAGTTTAATTTTATATATACATTTTATGAAAAAATATATACTTCCAAAGTTAATAATGTATCACTTACGGAGACCTGATTGTTGCAATGTGACGGCTGCATTTGTAGCTTTAACCTCTAATCTATACTTTCGATCCATATGTATATATAGCTACTTTATGGAACTAGATTACCTCAACCAATCAGAAAACACCGGGTCACGTGACAAGTTTGCCATTCTCTCCCTGTGAGGCTCTCTAAACAGAGCATAGACATAATATAAGACCGCTGGATCAATGAGCATCTTATGTAAATCAATATGGCGACTTTATGCTGGATGCTCATTGGTCCCAGCGGTCTTAGGCTGTTATGCATTTCATATGTTTGGAGCTTTACAGAACTCTGTATAGGCCCCTTAATACGAAAAACTAGGGAAATTTTATATATACAGTCGCCAGCATAAAGTTTTATTTTGATGGATTTTGGAACTTAATAATATTTTACTAATACAAACCATGATTGTACTGGCTCTGGTTTAGAGATAGTACACCAATCAAGGTTCATATTTGTAAAATATTAGTGAGTTCCAAAATCCATTAAAATAAAAAGTATTGCAACCTTTATGCTGGCGACTGTACTCAAAGAAAAACCTGAGAAAGGACATGACGATGACGGCCTTTTGCCTGTAAGAGTATATCCACACAAACTTGCATAGCCGCATAAACATATGCTTAAAGAAAATTATCCAATCACATTTTACGTGTGTCTTTATAAGAGAAACGCGATTAGATAATTTTCTTTATGCATACGTTTATGCAGCTATGCAAGTTTGTGTAGATATATCCTTAAGCGGGGATCACAGACTCTTGTATAACGTATAACACATAAGGCATAAGAAATAATTCAACCAATCAGAGTTCTTTACTTTATGGAAAGGAAGAAAACGTAGAACTTTGATTGGTACATTTTCTGATGTATTATGTGTTACGCATTATGCATTTCATGTGCTCCGGCTCTTAAGGCCGCAGCACAGACTTTTGCATAACGCATAACGCATAGTGCATAAGCGAATCAACAAATCAGAATCCTTTTTTTCTTCTCACTTCACGGAAGAGAAGCATTTTGATTGGCTAATTCTTTTATGCTCTATGCAGTATAGGCTTTAGCACAGACTTTTGCATGACGCATAACGCATAGCATAACGCGCGTCATCGCACAAGCTATTCTGCAATTACTGTTGTGCTCTGCGTAAATTCATATCGTGAACTTCACTAGGTGACATCCAGGGTTGGGACATTTGATCAATTCTAGGGTTATTTACGTTACGCGTAATATACATGTATATTACGTCAAATATGTATAAAATAATGTAATATACATATTTAATATTTTCCTGTGAAAGAAAATATTAGATTTATCATTTAATTACATAATAGAATAGCTTTATCAAGCTAATGAGCCTGGTTCTTAAAGCGAGAGACCTAGCTTGAAGCTTCTAACAAACAAGCTCATCAGATCAAACGATTAAAGTAAAATGAATTCCAAAACTAAAATCAGTCAGGTAAATAATATCAAGTAAGATGTTAAGTATAAATGTTTATTTTTTCAGGGTTCAGCCTTAGTTTTATTATTTTATTGTTGTCTGTTGAGTGGCAGATTGTAACCTCAACAACTGTTTGCGAGATAATATTATTTAACTACATAATAGAATAACTTTATCAAGCTAATGAGCGTGGTTCTTAAAGCAAGAGACCTAACTTGAAGTTTCTAACAAACAATAAGCTTATCAGATTAAAGTAAAATGAATTCCGAAACTAAAATTAGTCAGGTAAATAATATCAAGTAAGATGTTAAGTATAAATGTTTATTTTTTTCAATCGACACCATCGACAATGCATTATCTGAAACTACAGTATACACAGTGATGTTGAACTGTTTTTTTGCTAATTTCTTCTCATCGTCGACAATTTCTTTGAGTTGATTATTAATTGATTACTACATGCATGTCTTCTAATTCAATTCGTTTTAAAAAATCTGATTGAAAATCTAATTGTTTTATTTGCAGCCAGCATATTCAATTTCAACTTCTTATCAGAAGAAACAACGACGGCTTGAATCTGAACAATCAACATCCAAACAATTGATATCTGATGAGAAAGAGATCGATTTAGCATTAGCTACATTTTTTTTTGAGTGTAACATTTCATTCAATGTTATTGAATCGAAATATTTTAAAAAATTTTTACAACTTCTGCTTCCAACATACAAACCTCCAACAAGAAAAAACTTTCTACGAAGCTACTCGATGAGGTTTACCAAAATCTTTTGACTGAAAGAGTTTCATCTTTTGGATCTAATGGAGTTTTGTTGATTGTGATGGGTGGAAAAATTCATCGGCTAACACAAAAAATGTGGT